TCATCTGCATATCGGAGGTTGTTGATATTTCTTCCGGCAATCTTAATTCCGGCTTGGGATTCCTCCAGTCCAGCCTTCCGCATGATGTATTCTGCATATAAGTTGAATAAGCTGGGAGACAATATACAGCCTTGTCGTACTCCTTTCCCAATTTTGAACCAATCAGTTGTTCCATATCCAGTTCTAACTGTTGCTTCCTGTCCCACATATAGGTTTCTCAGTAGATAGATAAGGTGGTCAGGCACTCCCATTTCTTTAAGGACGTGCCATAGTTTGTTGTGGTCCACACAGTCAAAGGCTTTTGCATAGTCAATGAGTAGAGCACATTACAGTAGTCTAATCTTGAGATTACAAGTGCATGGACTAGAGTGGTGAGCGTCCCAACATCAAGATAGGAGCACAGCTGGGCAATCTACTGAAGATGTAGATAGGCGATGTTGACCCCAGACGCGACCTGGGACTCCATGGTAAGCGCTGGGTCAAGATGGACCCCCAAGCTGAGGACCACATTCTTTGTGCTGAGAGTTGCCCTTCCCAAAAGAGAGGGAGCTTCCCAAACCACTGATAGGAGGGGCACCCACCTTCAAGATCTCTGTCTTGTCCGGGTTCAGCCTCAGTCTGTTCTCCTGCATCCATTGCGGTACAGCCCACAGGCATCACTCAAGGGATGCAACGGCATCCACTGCTGTTGGAAAAAAGGAGATGAAGAGCTACATTTCATCAGCATCCTGATGACATGAAGCACCTCAACCTTGGATGACCCCTCCCAGCGGCCTCAAAAGGATATTAAACAGCATTGGAGAAATGATCGAGCCCTGCGGCACCCCACAGTTGAGGAGCCTTGGGGCCAATACATTCTTTCCAAGCTGGACTCTCTGGGAATGGTCCTCCAAGAACCACCAGAGCCAGGCCACCCATCCCCAAGTCGGAAAGCTGTCCCACGAGGATGCCGTGGTCAACAGTATCAAGGAAAATACTTGAAGTGACTATGAAGGTGCTGCTGACATGAGGGATTTGGAGTTTGGGACCACAGGCTACACTTCCTAGAAGATGGGCTGCTAGCAAATGATGTGTTGCACATCATAAGGGAAAATGTGTTTGGCCACAACATGAAGAACTCTATCAGGAGGGCTTTTAACTGAATTGGAAGTGGGAGGGAGATGGAGGTTAAGACAGATCAACTCTTGAATATCTAGAAAGATTTTTTTTTCAGGATCACGCTGGCCTTTATTGGGCATTAAACCTAATATCCTTGACTGATAAGCACTGGGTTCAGTTTTCTGCATGGATCCTAGTTACATAGAGAAAATATATTCTCAGTTCTTGTTGAGGAATATTAATACACAAATTGGCTCATCTATAAACGTTTTATGCATAAGATTCCTGGGTAGATTGCCACAAGGCTGTGCCTCTCTTGTCCTCCATAATTTATAAACTCTTAAAATTGGTCAAGAAGTTTGCCTGTTAGTCCATGTTAATAAAGCTATCAGGTAATATAAGAAACTTCCTACTATTTTAGTGGTCTAGTGCAGCGGTCCCCAACCTTTTTAGCCCCGCGGACCAGCTGGAGAAGGCAGAACACCCCCCTGCACTTGTGCACATGTGTGAAGGAGCGTGTGTGTGTGCTCGTGCGCATGCACAAAGGGTGGCACAGCACTTATGCAGGCACATGCTCATGCACATTCACAAAGAGCGGTGCAGTGCTTGTGGGGGGAGTGCACGCGGGGGTGGAGTGGGAGGTATTTCTCCGCGGCCCAGTCCGGCTCAGGCCCATGGACCAGCACCAGGCCGCGGACCGGGGGTTGGGGACTTCTAGTCTTGAGAGTGGGGAGTTCTTCCACCTGGTAAAGACACAACACTGGCCTTGTCTTCTCAATCAGGAGAATGCACTATCCCTAGATGTCAAGACATCTATCTGGAACATACAACAGAAATAAGATAATGCCAATTAAACAAATACAAATTAAAAAATTCACTTTTTCTTTATCTATTTCATTTTAAATAAATGTGGGTTTTTTGTATTTATCTACCTGGAAAATATGTGCAGCAGTCCTGATGTTTCAACATGAGGAGCTTTGGTTTCTCTCAGACAGATAGTTGTAACTTGTCACATTAAAAGTGGGGGTGGCAGGCCCTTTCTTTGTTTAAGCTACAACTTTTCTTTTATCTCTACAGAATTGTCCTATTAATATAGTCCGGAGAATATCCATCCTTTAAATTTTTAATATAAAGCATTCTTTGTTTTTCTTACATTTGAGCTAACAGGATTCAAGTTGTATGAGTAAGGGGAATATACTTACTTTTTAATGTAAATTTCTGTTCAGGATATGTGTCAGTGGCAGTTGGTAATGGCTAGCAAGTCAAATGCTTAAAATTATTATATCAGCCCTCTGCATGCAAGCCTTGTCAGAACTGTTCTATGTGAGGAACAGATACATATATATTTAAATGACTAGAAAGCACCCAATATGCCCATCTGAAGAAGTGGAAGTACTGTATAGAAGTAAAGATACACGTGTGCATGTGCCAAATGATGGACAACTAATTTTTTCCCTTTAAATGTCACTTTCTTACATTCCTTCGTACATTTTAATTTTGTAAGATTTGATTAAAAAATTTCATCAGAAGTACTATACTGGGAGAAGAACATAGGTGTCTTGCTTTCTGGAATAATAATTATTATTAAAAACAAAATTTTAAAACTGTCCAATAAGCATTCCCTCCCTAGTTCCCTGTCTTGAGTCTGTTCATTTGTAAATTGCTCTTGGAAGCTTTCAACTTAAGAAGGAAGGAATGACTGCTTAAAATAAAAGAAACAAATGATGATTATAAGCAACTACAGTAGGCCTGCAGTTAAATATAAATTGTTGTTTCCCAGTATTCACGAATAGTATATTTTAGAGTAATCATATTTATATACATATTCAAACTTTTTTGCATATGGTGATTAATGTAATATTTAATAATGGCTGATGTATTATTAATATAAAATGACCTGATAGATTTCTGTAGAATGAGTAGGAAATAAAATAATATATATTAAAACACTATACAGGTAGAATTTTATGACAACATTAGATTGGCATGCTGTTTTATTTTCAGTACTTAGATTCGTCACCTTTGTTGGGTGCTCCAGCTATATGGTATATACTACATTTACTGAGGTTTCAACAGTATGACTTGTCTTTGTACACCACTGAAACTGTAAACCACAATTTCAGAAGACAAGTATTATGAAGAGGACTTGATGTTGAAATAAACACCCAGTTAAACCAGTCTGCAATAATGTATTCTTACAATACTTCCAGTGAGTGTTCTTTCATTATGCCATAGAACATTGCACCTTACCTGTCAAATTTTCATCTGTCTGAAGTGACCATGGACCTTAAGCAATCCTGGATCCATTAATAGATGCAGACCCAGTTTGCCAGCATATGAATAATGTAGACGGTAATACCTTTCATGGGGTGAGAAAGGGATTTCCAAAGATAACTGACTTACAAAGGAATTATATCCTAGCATACAGTTTGTACTCTTCTACACATACTGTATGCACATATGAACAGACACATATAAGCGGACATTCACATTACAAAGAAAAAGTTGCTCAGTGTTTGGTTTATGCCTCCATATTTTGCTAGTGTGTCTCCTCAGGGCACTCCATTTCTGGGTTCTAACATGTGCTGGTTCTAACACAGTGTTTGGTTTATGCCTCCATATTTTGCCAGTGTGTCTCCTCAGGGCATTCCATTTCTGGGCACAATTCAAAGTGCTGGTTCTAACCTGTAAAGCCCTAAAAGGCTTGAGTCCAAGCTATCTCAGAGACCGCACTTCCCATTACAAGCCTTTTCAGGTGTTAAGATAACTTCCCTCAAGAGAGACCTTTCTCTCAGTTCCACTACCTTCACAGGTCCATTTAGTGGGGGACATGGGAGAGGGCCTTCTCTGTCGCTGCCCCCATACTTTGAAACCTTTGCACAGGCGGCCAGCCTGGCCCAGTCTTTGGTATTCTTTCCCAAGCAGACAAAGACCTTTCTCTTCAGGCAAGCTTTCTCTGAAAGCTTGCCTGAAGAGAAAGCTTTTTCTATAGATAGAAATTTTTATAGAAATTTTCTACAGATAGTTGTACTTTACTGCCTTGAATTTGTTTTGATGTTGCTTTTGTTTATATTTTTTTTCCAGCATAGTATCTGTTTGGTCCTTTTTAGTATTTGTTTATGTCCTGTTTTTAAGTTCAGATATTGTATTGTAATAATGTAAATTACCTTGGGTCCTTTTTAAGGAGAAAGGTGGGGGTAAAATATTCTAAATAAATAAAATAAATAAGTTAGGAGACCTGTTAAGGAAGTACTCTCAGAACCGACCTCCTGCTAAAATATGCAATGTATGAAAAGGAGCAGGGCTTAACTATGTTTAGTTTGCTGCAGCAAAAGAAAGAGGCTTGTGGCACTTTAAATGGGAAGAATTCAAACTGATTATCACCAGTTCTGCCTGATCTGCCAATGTTGGTAGTCATGGACATTCTGAAACTCATTCTAGGGAGACATTATTCTACATTTCTGCAGTGGAAGCCACAGTATATGAGCTAACATCTCCATGTCATAACACTACACAGTTGATCTAGTTCAGAAGGTCTGTGACGGCATTTCATTTATATTTCAAATGTCAGGAGATCTGATGATGGTTATTTTCTATTTAAGTTGTTTAGGCCCTACTGCTTCTAGTTGACCTCTTTTATTTGTAAACCTCACTTCATTCATATGATCACCATAACATGTAAATTTTGAATTAAAACAATAAAAATTTCAAAACATATCATCATAAACAAAAAGCAGAAAATACATTTTTTAGAAAAATTCAAGATTAGCAAATTAAAGTGACTGAATAAAGAAAAGGCATTTAAGCTGGCGTCAGAAGGTTTGCGGTATTGGTGAGAGTTTTATTTCCACAAGGAAGGTATTCCACAGTTGGGGTGACACAGCCAAGAAAGCTCTTCCTTTTGCCCACACTTATGTACTGGGAGCCTGAAGATCTTAAAGTAATGAATGGGCCAGCTGATATTGGGAAGGCTACTCCTGCAACTGGTGAGTCCCTAGATGTTTAAGGTTTTAAAGGCAGAGACCATCAGCTTGAACAAGATGCAAATATATAGCCAATACCATCCCTTTGGAACTGCTGTAATATAATTCCAGCTGGCTATATCAGTAATAATTCTGCCTGCCACATTCTTCATTAGCTGAAGTGTCTAGGTCATCTTCAAGGGGAACCTCATGTCTAAGCCTGTTGGGAGGTTATCGTAGTGGCCAAATTATCCCTGCCCAGGATGACTCCTGCTAAGTAGCCAAAGCTAGTAAAAGGCACTCTTAACTATCAAGGCCACCAGGTTTCAAGACAGACTTTATCTCAGATTGGATTGCTGGCATAACCTACCTGCCTGCCTGCCTGCCTTCCTGTCTGTCTGTCCATCCGTCCGTCCGTCCGTCCTGCGTGCAGTCAAATCCGGCTCAGTAATTTCTAATTGGGAGTAACTTTTGTTTTTGGAAAATATGTGCACATAAATAAAGAAGAGACAGTAACATGCATTACAGACCTAGCTTCCCAGTGAAAACGTCGGGCATGTGGCTGTGTTACTGAAAACAGTCCTGTCTTTTCACATCACTCAGCCTGGCAGGGGCACTAGCTTTGATTGCTGTATCTGGAGGCAGAACCTCTGTGTTTCACTATCAAGTCTTGTAATGATTTACTTTCCATAAATCCGTTTTGTACAACACACACCTCCTGACAGTTAATGCAAACTTGAGATGTGTGTGCATTTTGGTTTATTACTATTCATATTATAAAAGTCTGTGAAGTCATGTGATGAAAGAGAGGGAGGCTTGCAAATACTTTCCCCTTGTTTTCTAATAAACGATTCGACCCTGCTGGAAAAGCAAGACTGCCTGTTACAAAGAACAAATACCCTTCTGTTATCTTCCCTAGTTGTTTTTAACCCTCCTGCACATTCATGGGATCGTCGCAGATCTCCACAAGGGCAAACAACAGAACAACAAAATATTTGTTTTAATCTTTATTGGATGCTGAATGCCCTTGTGCATGTTTACGAGAGTTAAACATTAATGACAGATGTTGTTAATCAGTAAAAGTCATGAACCAGCTTCTGAGAGTTTTTCGTTAGTACATGAATCTTCTGGTTGATGACAATATTTCTAACATGTCTAATTATGAAGTAGCATTCTAATAAGGGCTCAGATAATGGGAGAATTTTTACCCCACCTTTGTCTTTGTGTCAGTGGCAGACAAAGATCATTCCAAATCTTTATCCTTTCCTCAAGATTAATTGAGATTGCGTTTGTTGCAATACTTTTATCTGTATCCATTTTAATTTCCACACAGGATTGCAGGGTTTATTAACATTCCCACCTAATGTCTGAAATAGTGTCTGGATTTCTCCCCCTCCCCCAAAGTTTTCCCCACTCATTTTTAATACTTCTAGCAGCAGTAAGGGAAAGTGATTATAGGTAATAAATATCTTTTTTTTAAAAAAAACATTGCAGAGGCAGTTTTTCCCCCCTGTTAATGAGGGTAATTTGACTTGGTTGAAGGATTGCAGTTCTTAAGAATTAATGCAGCAATCCAATTCAAAGATTTAAAGAGATCTAAGATTTTTCACAGGTCGTGTGCTAGTGAATGTGCTCCTATCACATAGCAGCTAATGGACTTGAACAACAGTCTGTCATTTGCTGTTACCTCAGTGTATAGCAGCTTTGCCCTTGATAGCAAGTATTGTATTCTTTCCCAGCAGTACAGATTATTTAGTGGTGTGGTGTATTTGTAACACTTTAAGAGATGGTATCCTATTTCCAACAGCCCTAATTACCGTATAAAGTGAGGTTATCTTTCTGACTTTCTTAATTACATGTTTGAATCCTAATCGACTGTAGTGTAAAGGTATTTTATACTCTAATAGCTACCTTCTAATTTTTCCTCTTTCAGATATGATGTCCCATAGTCATAATATAATTTATGTGCTGAAGTTCCATTATGCCAAGTACAAACATGATAATTACAAAAAATGTAAGAAGTGATATCTACAAGTCTCCATTATTTTGGGGAGGGGGGAGAGAATACATTACATTTTCCTGAAGTTTATTAAATGCGTATTTGTAACATGTGGCAAGTGCTCTAATTTTTTGATCTTATTATGTTCATAGATACCAAAAATCCTCTTTTAAGGTAATTAGGGGAATTCTTCTGTGTTTAAATGCTTTCTGTTGACAGTGGTTTTCTATATCCAGCACAGAAGCATCTTTGTTCCTTAATGAGAAAAAAGACTAGAGCTCATTAATTGTGGACATCAAGTATGTCTACTAAAATGGGGAAGCAATAATACAATATAAATAATGATGGTACCTCCATTTCTAAAAACTTTATTTTATTTTATTTAAAAAGGACCCAAGGTGGCTTACATCATTAAAAAAGAACATTTAAAACTAAAAACAATGAGTATACAAAGGTTGCTTACATCATTAAAATATAACCTACATATAGAGTGGTGCCTCGCTTAACGATGATAATTGGTTCCCAAAAATCGCTGTTAAGCGATTTCATCGCTAAGCGAAACACGGTTTCCCATAGAAATGCATTGAAAACTGGAAAATCCGTTCCAGTGGGAACGGATTGCCGTCCTTAAGCGAAAATTGTCATAGGAAACATCGCTAAGCGAAACACGGTTCCCCAATTGAAATGCATTGAAACCTATTCAATGCATCTCAATGGGGGGAAAAATTACAACAAATTTAAAGAGTCGGAACAAAGTCAAATTAGCTTAACAAAGGGTTTATTAAGTGCACCTATGATTTCAAGCATTCTAAACATTTTAAAAACATTTTTAAACATTTAAAAAACAGCCAACATGAGGCTGTCAAAACCATCGTTAAGCGAAACAGGGGGACCCAAACTGTCATCGCTATGTGAAGCATGGTCCCAAACATCGCTATGCGAAAATCGCCCATAGGAACCATCGTTAAACGGAGCTCAAGATCGCTCCGAAAAAGTCATCGCTAAGCAATTTCATCGTTAAATGAAGCAATCGCTAAGAGAGGCACCACTGTCCTTTGATATACAGTTAAATATTGAGATCATAATATGAAGAATGTAGGTTTATTAATCCTCTCCTTTTTAGTGAGTTCATAGTTTTACACAGGAACAAGTTAGCAAGCTGAGATCGTTGTTGAGAGCTCTTAACAAACTACTGTACTAACCCCAATACATTTCCCCACCACCATGATTAAATACAAAACAAGCCCAAATCCAACAAAATCCCCAATAAACTGGTGTCCAGCAGGTAAACTGTGCTCATAATTTCTGCAGATGGGAGAGAATCTATTTGAAGACTTCTTTGAGGAGTCTGGCTTTTAACAGCTGTGGGCCACTACCAAGAAAGCTTGATTCCTCCTTGAAATCTTCTTTGTCTCCCTTGAAGTGGCCACCTGTAAGAGATTGGCCTGGGTAGATCAGGTGGCATGGGCTGAGATGCTCTGACACAATGTTCTGTCTGTGTCCAGGAGTTGTTGTTATGTGATGCCAAGTAACATCCACCTTTATAGCATCCTTATAAATTAAAAGTTTCCAAAAAGTCCTAAGATTAACAGTCCTACTCAGATCCTGCAAAGTAAAAGACATGGCTTCCTTTGTTGAGTCATATGTAGATAGTTTGAAATTAGATCTCTAATTTCTATCCCCCCCCATCATTTGTGCCTTCTCCTGCCTCTCTTTCTATCCTCTCTTTCTTCCATCTCGCTTGACCAGTTCTGCCCCCTAGATTTCATCCTTTTCCATGATGTAGCTGCCATCTTCTCTATCACTATTCCTCATTTCCTCCCCATCTCCTCTGCTCCTTCTCTTTGTCCCTTGTTCTCAAATAACCATTCCTTGGCTTATCTTCCATCTTTCTTCACTTTTAGTTCCTCGGTCATGCTGCTTCCTGTCACACCCTTGGCTCCCCCCCCGCCCAAATCCACTCGCAGTGCTTCCATTCTGGTTTGCATGCTATGCATTCCACTAAAACTGCCCTAACAAAAATCACAAATTATCTTCTCATAAAATCAAAAGGTTTCTGTGCAGTTCTCATGCTTCTTGACCCTCTTCTCCACCTTTGTTACAATTGATAATTCTTCCCAATGTAGTTCCCTTTTAATCCCCATGTATCAGAGTTTCTGTCTTTAGCTGGTTACTCTCTCATCTGTGTAAAGATTATAGGTGTGCGTGTAGAGGTTTCTCCCTTACTTCTCACTGTTATAATCTGTTCTTGGTCTCCTACTGCTCTGTCCATACATAATGCCTTGATGACCTAATCACACTCTATGGCTTTCATTACCAGCTTCTCTCTCTGCTCTTAAACTGTCCCTTCACTTTAATCCTAGATCTCCAACTGGTGGTGCTTAATTGTCACAGGTTCAATATGTCCAAGGCGGAGCATCTTCCATTTCCTCCCATTCCCTTCCCCCCCCCATGTACTTCATTTATCCTTTGACAATGTGACTATCAACCCTATTGAACAGGCACACAGCTCTAACTTTCTCCTTGGCTGTTTTCTCTTAGTTACCCATAGACCATAACCAGGTCATGTTGATTCTTCTTTTACAGCTTTCCAGAAATAATAGACTTGTCCTCAGGAAATCTTATGCACACTCTGATCATCTCTCACCAGGCTACGCTTCTTTAAGGTCTTCTCTTGTCTCACTTTGGGTTCTGTCATGCTTCTTCAGTTGTCTGCTGCCAAAATAATTCAGCTACATTACTGCAGACGTCTTTAAGAAATAGTCTGAAACTGAAATATCACAGTTACTGTACTTTGTTTCTCCTTATAAAAAAGATTGTGACTAGTATTCAATGAAGACTATGACTAGTGTTGATTTTAGCATTTATAGAGTGAAACGTTGAAGAAGTTATCACAGTGACATTGATACAAAAGGTAGGAACTCTGTCTGCTGGCCAAAAGAGTATATTCTTACATTTTTTGTGTCATGTGATTAGATAGCCTCATGAGGCCTGCTCCCTCTGTGTAGTTTCAAAAAGCTGGGGCTTGCAATCCCTTGCCTGAGCCTGAAAAACTAAGCTTGCCTGTCCAAGGCTTCCAAATTTTATACAGTATAGATTTCTCCTGGTACTCTTCACCTAAGTCCGCATGTCCTAGTTTTGCCAATGGAAATGATGGGTAACTTCGACTTCATCTCACCTGTTTTCATTGTTCAAAGCTTTCTCAATTTTCCCTCTGATGTACAGAAAGATGAGTTGAACTCCCTGTTTTATCAGGCGAAATCAGGCTTCTTCCACATGTAAGATAGAAATTCAAAATATATCCATACATGTACTGGGATCTTACAGGCAATATATGGATTTAAGGACTGTGTTCAACTTTAGGATTGTGAATCTAGATGTTTCTTGGTCCCACAGGTTTCTCTGGGATTTTCTGTGAATTTTTTTTCCTTCCCTCCTCAGGGTTTCCCTGCCAGCACTCTAACTTTGATCTCTCTCTGTGTGTGTAACCAGTAACCATTTTCTGCACCCCCTCATCAAAGTCATTAATAAAAATGTTGAGGAGCACAGGGCCCAGAACTGACCTTGTGGTACCTTGCTGTTACCTTATTGTTACAGTTTTAGGAGTAAT